ATTCTGAATGTATGCTATAAGCTTGGCAGGCAGTCATTCCATGCCCACCCTACTCATAGCCACTGGTGCTTTCAGAAGGCCTCTGTTCTATAGTCTTGGGACATTCAGTAGCTTAGGAACATAGAGAAAGCTACAGGCTTGAAGTCCAACACCCTTAGCCAAAAAACTCTGCCCTGTCCCTGGTCTTTGAGCTTCTGTCTCAGAAAAAGGTGGGAGAGTTAGGGTTATTCAAAATCTACAGTGTAAGGCAACCCTTTTATGAGGCAAATGCACAGTTCAGCACATTGTATCCCAGGTTTTGTGTGTCAAGAACAGTTTGTCAGGCAAGAGAGTTAGGAAGCCTGAACAAAATAAGCAGTAAGAGAGGGGGAAAATGTGCTAAGTGTTTCAAGTTATGGCTCCAGATTACAGTCTTGGATGGATCAAGGGAGTATCTGCAGATGTGCAAACTGGTCCTAGGAGATGTAGGAAAGGCATCTGATTGCCCTGAAGACTTTGTCAAAGTTCTCTTGGAAGAAACAAGCAAGTAACTGGTCTCCTTTTAGAGAAATATAAACTTGAGTTGTTAATGTCAAGCCTGTTTTCCTCTATTTACTACCAAACAACTTTACTTTTTTATTTTAGAAAAAGGGTTTAGAATGCAATGGAAATCTAAAAGTGGATCCATTTGATTTGACTGTAAATGAGCTATAGTCACATTAAGCACAATTTCTGTTATACTTCCATTATTAAGAAACCTGCACCATCTATTTTAACACAATGTCATTATTCTTGGGGAAGATAGGGATCCTACCCATTCCCCAATAATTTGAGTTTGCAAGATTTCATGTCAGGAGTTTATACTTTGAAGTATTACAGTTACAATGATTTCAGGTATAGTTTCAGGTATACAGGAGAAAGTCAGCTTAAAAATTTATTAACCAACAGTAAACTGTTTTTAAGTGTTTCTAATTGGGACTTTACTTTCCACAGAGATGTTCTAGCATCTTCTACCACAAGAGGGCAGCCATTTCTAAATTAAAAGAAAACATGATAAAATATAAGTTTTGTATCCTGGAATGGAAAATGTGAAACAACCAAACAAATGGAAAACACAAACGACAACAGCCATATTCACAAAAGGGCACAATCTTTTCAGATCTCTGCCATTTTTCATGTTTAGTAAGTTAGAAGGAATACAGAAAGGCTTTTCCACCAGTTATAGGAAGTGTGAAGCTGCTGTTCCCCTTCTCCTCTGCAGAATCCTGTTGTAAACCATTGAGAGGGGTGATGATGGCCTTTGTCCTAAAAAGCCAGAACAAAACCTAACCAGTTTTCATTGACTGTTGGTTGGAAAAATGAAAGCCTCACAAGGCAAGACTCTGCCCCCTTCCACAAAAAAGTGCAGTGAATAATGGACCGTTGAGCATAAGACACAATATACTTCTGCACTGAAGGTTCCCCCCCAGGTAGGTCAGATCATCCCCAGGTTAGGGAAAACTGATCTAAAAGTACACTGTTGCAGATCCCATGTGGATTTCACAGAAATCACAGAAATCACAGAAAGACTAGTCCTATGACTCTGCTTTGACACTAATATATAGATAGGGGGATGGTGTTAAAATAAATTGTGTAGATCAATTTTCAAAATAGCATCTAATGCAGTAATCCTGGAAAATATAACTGGCAAAAGGGTAAAAGGTAAGAAAACCATCTGATATGGGCCAGAGAACAAGCATGGCCCAAGAATATTCTTCAGCCTTGAAAAACTGAGTTAAAATGAATCCATTGGATGTCCTTGGTCTAGTAAATCGTTTAAGTAATAATGACCAATTACAAAAGAGCTAAATGAGGCATCCATGTGTGGTGTATGGTTGCATTTACACTAATATACTGAACCACAACTAGCTAACTCCATTTTAGTACTGTATAATAGGTTGTGCAAACCTCACCAGTAGAGGGGTCATGGGAAATTGGGTTATAGTAATTCTACACACTGGGTCATGCAAATGTTCTTGCTATCTTCTCAGCATCTCTGATGCAGCACACAACTTTGACTGATCCATCTTGTATTTCTATATTGAAATGTCTGACTCACTTTTACAGCCAGGGTTTCTCTAACAAAACCATGTCAGATAAGTGATTTGTGATGTCCAGCGGTGGAATCCTTAGAATTGAGGTGCAATTAAGTTATTTTAAACTCTGGATTTGCTGCTTACAAACACACACCTCCCCCCCGCCCCACCTTTCCCTGTCAAACAGCTTCACTTCTTTTAAAATCTGCTGTTCCAGCCTTTTTAGATCTGAGGAGCCTCCTGGGGCCTTGCCTCAAAGTCCTTTCTCAAGAACACCATAATGGATGGGTCTTCTCTACTACATATTGCTATTTGCAGGGGTCACATGCTTAAGAAGCAAGTGTAACTGCATTGCCAAATCCATAATGACTGTCACAACTAAGGCTGCAATGCTATCAGGGCTGGCCTTGGCCAAGGGGCAAAGGAATGGTTAGTCAGGGGGTTCAGTAACAAATGCTGGGGAGCAACAGGTGCTGTTACCATTAATTCTGACCACCCCTGCCATTTACCATTGCCGGAGGATAGACTGTCTGACAGAATCTGTGTCAATCACTCTAGTAGCCTTCGGCTGCAGGGAAACCCCCTGATCCATCGTGAATGTGGAAATAACATTTAATGGCCAGTCCAGTTCACCCCTTTATGTGGAAGGGAGGCACCCTGAGTTTCAAGCAGCAAAATGGGCCAGTCCTGAGTTCTAGGCCCACTTGCTTGGGAATAAGCACCATAGAATGCAGTAGGACTCACTGAACAAAATAGGAAAAAGAAGGGGGAATAAAAATGCCACTCATGGGACAAGCTGGAATTCTGAAATTGTTTGCAGAAAATATTTATTGCTTGCAAAAAATAATAAATATGTACTTCCTCCAGAAAATGAAGTCAATCTTAATTCTATTGGGTAGGATACTGGGCTCTGACCAGAGATGGATTGCTTCCAGCCTTGTCTTACTTAGCCCTGGCATCAGATGTTCATTCTTTGGCAAATCATTTCCTTTCCTCTTCATAACAGAATGATTGTGAGGATAAAATAGACTATGTGATAAATTAATCTCCCCCTCCAGACGTGTTAGGCTAGAGTTTCCATCCCCCACCACATACCAACAAAAGCATTTCGGACAGACGTGAAAAACTGTCAGGTTAACCTCAGCTGTGAGAAGGGGAACAGCTTGAAACCATCCTGATGCTGCATTGCCAATTTATAATTAGCCATTTTTATTTTTAATTGTACAATATTTGTAAACTGCTCCAATCAGGGCAACTCTGGGCAAGATTCCAAAACTGAAGATCTTTTCATTTAGAAGGGGAGAACCAGCTGCTGGAGGATTCTTGTTTTTTAGCTCAGGAGAAAAAAAAAAAAAAGGCATACAGGTGAATATCTAAAAAAAAAAAAAGGCTGTCCTTGAGCTCTTTTAAAAAAGGGTACGAGTCTCCTACTTTGACCTTCACACCCTTAAAGTGAGTAAAACTTATAAATCCCACCGCTGGAAGCTAATCCTATTTGTGGGGGCATAATTGGTGAACTTCTTTCTCTTTCTTCATAGACGAATGCCAGCATAATAGATCTTGGTGGGCCGGCCCTTTAGCCCGAGTCCGCCGCACCAAGCCTTCAGTCGCGCTCGTCCGAAGTCAAACTTTCCTGCGGAGAAGGGAGCAGGCTTCAACCTGAACGCTCCGGCAAACACCAACCTTTCTTCGAGAAGCTGAGACTGACCACCTTGTTTTCTTCCCGAAAGAAACCTCTGCAGGATTCCTGTCTCAGGAAACAGGCATAGCATCGCACTGCGCGATTACAGCCCATTAGCCGCGCCTAAACTACCCGCGGACTTGATTTCCGCGCATTGGGCTCTTCCACCCGGGAACCCGGAGCCGCCG